TGTTCAACAGGGTTGTTGGACCGAATGAAAGATCCAGTGGACGCGCGGCTTCGAGATCAAGGGACTGGATTCTATAAGGATCGGTCGTACACAAACTAAATCAGAACAATGCGGACCATTGTTGAGCAGTCAATGAAAAGTAACTCGTCACTATGCATCAATGTCCTTTGACGATGAGAAAGCGTTTGACAGTGTGGATAGGAGCAATTTATGGAATCGTCTTCTACACCATGATGTAAGTGAGAAAGTCTTAAACATCATACGGAATTCATGTGACGAGCTCAGCTACATGGTTGTGCTCGAAAAACTGCCCACAGACCGTTTCAAGCAAAAGATGGTGTCAGACAAGACTACCTATTCTCCCTTCTCTCTCATTCTTATCGTAGTCGATTGGATTATAAAGAACTAGACATCTGAAGAAGAAAGACGAAATACAATGGAAAACATGCATGCAGCCAGGCCTGTTGTAACAGAGAACAAACAGACTTCTGATTGAAGAGAGAACTAAGAAAAGACGTTGGAGGTAGTTCGGACACACATTGTTGAAATCACTTGATTCCATAACATGGCAATCTATGACCTGGAATCCTGAAGGTGGAAGGAATAGAGAGAGATACAAGAACAAGTTGTGTCAAAAATTGGAGGCAGATATCAAGAAAATAAATGGTGTTTGAAAACGCTTGAAAGGAGAACCCATGACAGAGTTGGTTGACATATTCTGTTCTGGAGAATCTCATGCTCCTATGAGCGAGGTAATAGGCGTGAGAAAGCTGTGCACTAACACGTTGACTTACAACCAGTGATAATCAGTGACCTTGCGCTTTGACACTGTCCATACAGTTGTTCTGACTAACAATCCATTAGAATCGTGATCAACATCTCGAAAATGATGTGCCAGTTCACTTCATTAGGTCATCATAGAAGGATAACCTCAATCATATGTCTAAGCGTCAAGAAACCATGATAAAACACACATTTGAAACCGTTCACAACTAAAAGAATCTATCACGTTCACAGATTTACAACTTTTATAAATGTTAATAGTTTCTGTTAACTTTGTTCAGGGATACGAAACACAAAGTCCTTAAACAACACAAAACATTAATATGGATTTCAAATGGATTGTAAATTGACATTGAAATGTTACTTGATTTGTGAATGATCGAATACGATGATTAGAGACCAGAAACGAATCAATAGAAGATAGTCTACGACCAGCTTGATTAGCGGAATACATAATAAACATAAATGAACAAAAGAGTAAGGATTAGATGTGTGTATTTTATAGATAATTTGCCTTCCATCTGAAATTGACTTGTTCGTACGCTACATCACTACTTTCATTTACAAAGTTATAGTTTTATTGTTAAGGATTTCAAAACCCATATTAATATCACATTATACATTTGATGATCGTTATTAAAACGTGTGAGTGTTCAGACCAAGTTGCACACAAAGAGAACACTTTCCAAGCCCATCTCATTACGTCACCGAGCATGAATTTTAAAAGAGAAAGGAGCTTTATAACCATGGATTTCCAACATTCGATCTCAGTGGTATTAAGTGCGAGCTTTTCCAAAGAGTCTCATACTCAAACGAAACAGAAGTCTAATGCTTCTTCTCCATTAGTTGTCAAACCAAGATCAGTCATTAATGTAGAATATGAAAACTGCTTTCTTAATAAACAATAATTGTAGTACTTTCAAACGTTGCTTTTGCAAACAATTTAACAAGTCACCAGACACATTATGCAAGTATGATATACACTGCTTGAAACAGATGTTTTTGTGAGAAAACATGAGGTTTTCTCATTCCGATTTGAAGACGATTTAATTTTGACAAATTGAACGCTTCACATTTCCTGACTTCTTTAAACGAGATTGATCAAAACTACTGAAAGCCATAAAACCAGTTATAGTGGTACAGTTGACATCACTACATTTGTTGAATCGCCCCAGGTTTATGTTTTTCAGTTACAACACATCTATTGTTGTCACACTGATCGTTCATAGTACCGTGTGTGGTGTTTTCATTTTATGATTGGAGTAGAGCTTCAGTGAAAACATCCAACAGAAGTAATACTGATACCTGTCATTATTGCTGACTGCTTTATACAATTTCTACTTGAAGTTGTTGTAAAATGATTTATGTCACGTATCAGTGACAAAACTTTCATTGTGTTATTCTGTTTCATTATTAGATTTTGGTTCCAGTTTAAGTAAGTAGTGGACGTTATCCCCATCAACTTCTCTGAGCTTCAGACATGGACTCACCAACGTCTACCGAGGCAATCAAATATATAATTGATTTATAAAATTAATCCTTTACTGTGTACTTCCTGAAATGTAATTATTTGTTCCCAATGTAACAACAATTTTCCAAAAATAAAATTTGTCAATTCCTTTTCATCCACTTCATTCTACTCCTTTTTATTCGTATTACCTAGCAGAAGTCCCCGAATCAATAGGCTTCAATATTAACAGAGAAAAAGGAAGATCCACACGTGTGACAAGAGAACACTAACCAAGCCGATCACACTTGATAGAGAAATTGTTGGGGAGGTGGAAACATTCACGTACTTGTACAGCATCATCATCAGTGAAAAAGGAGGATCTCATGCAGATGTGGAGGCAAGGGTTTACAAAAATAGAACAGAATTCGGCGAGACTCTAATTTAGGGACGACCTTTGAACGAATCTTAAATGACCTTGACAATTATTAGCCAATCAGAAGACAGTTAGTATAGAGTGAAAATATATTATAAGAAAGTAATGAATTACAGTGGATAGTCTTCTTTTACATGATTTAAAAACTTGTGGAGGTTCGATAACGGTTCAGAAGTCCTGAAATCATAATGCATGCGGTATAAAAACTCTTCCATGTGGCTTCATAACAGTCGTCCTCTTGAGCCGTGGTATGGTCTTAAAAATTCTTTCAGTCTCGACCATATAGCTTCAATATTATTAGTATGTACGCCGGTTGTAGGATCGACGAAATGGCGCTTGTGCACTACAACATGATGCACATATCCAAGTCTATGTAGGCACCTATAGCCTCGCCAATCATCCGTAAATATTGTTGTGCCCAGTTGTACGTATTCCAGTATAATTGATATGATTGTGTTTGCTTGCCGGTTTCTGACTTTCTGAAAATGTCCCTTTCGTGTTGATCGGTCATAAATTCCAAGTACCTGTCAAGTATATTTACGGAAATGCTACTTACCCATTCTTCCTTGATACTACGTCCCCTATTGTATTTTCGCTTTCGTACTACCGTTTCATCTATTTCCACAATGCATCCTACTCCTCCGAATGATAGGCGTAGGCGTATCATTTTACTTGCACAGATGTCACGACAGTACTCATACCACTGGACTGCTGAAGTTTCAGCAACATCTGCAAACGCCGCAGCCAGTGATACTGGTGTCTTTATTACCCAGTTTGCCACTACTATCACGATTTGCCTTAGTGACAGACGCGATCGAGCGAAGAAAGTCCCCGTTCGAGCAGACTTTTTTTTCCAACATGAAGGACAACGAAACACAATCTCACCACGGTGTTCTGAACACTTAGCTCCAGTCATTTGACAACCGCATTCGCACGTACAAGAACTTCTCAATAGTCCCATCTCTTGTAGCCTCTCATTAATAACCTCTTCTCTAAAATCCGCTGTAAAGCGATCGTATGTCAGCATCAGGTGTTGAACTTGGCTCCGTGACCTTGAAATTGCTCAAACGCTTCTGATTGGTTCGTCCTTAAATTAGAGTCTCGCCCAGAATCCTTATAGTTAAAGAACATATTCAACTCTAAACAACTATCAACCAATATCATAGTCAGAAACTTCAATACGAACGACAAGGCAGTTAGTTCGACTGTACGGAGCTGAAACTTCGAGAACTAACACTACCATCATCAAACACTTCTAGCATAAAAATTGCTTCACTCACAATATCATGAATTACTACCACACCTACCACCAGGAAGCATGATTAGCAAAATCAAATGAATATACTTGAAAGAGACAGATCTTCACAAATGCTATCAATAACTGTCATTGCACTCAATATCAAACACGAAATTGAATGAGGAAGCCAACAATGAGTTTCCAGTAGCGCAATATATAAACCGATAAACCCTTTTAAACCAACCCATACAGTTCAAATAAGTTGAGAACGAACAACAAAGAGCAAAAATTATATTGCAAGAGTAAGCTGGATAACTGTAGAGAGCATTGCAACGGACAAAACTACCAACTCTTCGTCTTCGTCTGTATAAAATTCAAATAACCGTCACACTTCACGATTAATATTAGCTCATATCAATGAAAGTCGACAAATATCGGCACTTGTTCGACTTGGTGGCAGTTGACATGTCAGACAGAACATATGCAAGTATGACTAGCGCATTTTCAAAAATCTGGCAATCAGGGTAATTTGCAGCCACTGAACACACTGAAATCGGTACAACTTATCAAACAAAAGTGTCATGGAGGAGAGTTCAGATTAAAGAGCAGGCAATAGAAAGTTAAGGTCAACGACAAACAATGAATTGGGAGTTCGAAAGACTCTATAGGCTACTAGTAAGAGGATGAATTTTTTTTGTCTACTTTTAGCTGGCACTAAGGCGTTTTACGTTATCTGGAGGATTGATTGAAACCATCCAGCTCAAACAGTGTCAGTCAAAAATACCAGTCACTGAAACATACGTTATTTGTCAAAGTCACGACACATGTGTATTTGGAAAATACGATCGTTGTACAAACCATTCCAACCAATTTGTCTCGTTTTAAGTTCATGTACAATCAAAATGTGCCTCAATGCAGAAATCTACACCAACAGACGAAGATCTATTTAACAGAAAATCTATTATAAATGACAAAGCAGTTTACAATATTCTTCAAAATATGCCTCGTGAATATATGAGAATATCTGTAAACTAATTAAAACACCCAATGGAAAAGCATCAAGTATTCGTGTTCAATCATTTACTCATTTAGTTCTCTCATTTTTTGAATGACAATCGATGATTGCATTTAAGGATAATTGTAAATTGATGACAAGTATGAAATATTCGTAAATCACTAAGAATAAACTGTAGAGTGTAGACAAGTGTTCTTCTTCGCGGTGTCTGTTCAGATAATATATTGTGTATATCATCACCTGTAATTGTGAAAACGTAGATGATTAGTTCATCATCAATGCATGCATACTAATATATGTATCAGTGAAATATTTGGTCTTTACATATATAGGGTTATCAATTTAGTAATTTCTCAACATTCATACATAACAAATGAACAATAAGTGTCTTGTTTTTTGATCTGCCAATTATTGAGCCATTCAACTAAAGAAACGAACTAAGTGATAAATGTAAACAAAGATGGATAGTGGCTAGCAGTGGAATCCAGGACGCGCGTTTCTTCCTGTTTGGGACTCGTCAGCTGGATTTACCGGAATCTCAGATTTGATGTTCACTCTGGGACTCGAACTCAGTAGGAGACTGATCAATTTCAGATTTAAAACATCAATGGGAAGATTCAAGTACAAACAGTATCAAGTGAATTAAGTGATAAATACTTCACCACTCAATGTTGCGCTTTCAGCCATCATTCAAAGTGCTTCATGATGAATTCTTATTGATTGCACTGGATAGAAAACACTAAGACTTCAAAGATGTAACTTCTACAGAACGCTATCTTTGAAAGCATAATAATCAAAGAACGGTTATTTGTATTTACATTTTATTATTTATTCAGAACTTACAATAAACGTTACGCAACACCAACAAACATATGTTGCAACTAGTAAACCCTTCTAAAATAAAGGAAAGAAAACAATTCACTTCAATTCATGATGTATCTTTATCAATATCAGTGAACAAACTGTATTACTCTACTAATTTACTCTACTGAATTTAAAGTAATATGTAGCTGACTGACTGACCTCACGTAAGAGTTCAATCAGTCAGTTATCCTGAATTTCGACATCACGTAACAATTCTGTCTCATGCTTGACAGGTTTCTAAACAAGGAATTAGTTTCGTCATGGACTGTGTCCCGTTACATTGAAGCTACTGATTCCACGAATGTGAAATCGTTGGTTGAAGATGTATTGTTCCGGTTTTGCTGTAATGACCATTTTGTTACACAATCATAATATATAGATAGTACTGAAAATCAATTTCTCAAACGATAACATTATTTCATGATGCTTTGTATCAACAACATACAGTGTAAACTCTACATAAGATTGCAGATGTTTAACAGTTTCAATCCATGTATAATTTAAACTGGTTTCATTTTGCAACTTATGCATGATGACAACATCATGGTGCAAATCATTTTCTTATTTAGAATGACCGCAAACTGATGCGAATAAACGTGCAAAGCAGCTGAACATGTATTAGAAAACCAAGATTTCTTTGAAATATTCCTCAATGAAATATTAATTTGCAAATGCATTTCTATTCTGGTGTAGGAGAAATTTTACCGGTAATCTATGGTCAGAAAAACTTACCATTTTCAATATCAACCCCAAAACCAGGAGTATGAATCCAGTTACCATAATTACACCACACATCGCAAACAAAACTGTCTTCCATTGCCTTTCTGAACCATGTAGATTTAGACTCAATAAAATGGCCAAGATAGTGAACACATTAGTCACAAATGCAGAAATAATTACTTCATACCAGTTTGTACATGAAATTAGTAACGCAAAACCAACAATCATAATTATCATCTGAATTGGAAAAAGTTAGTTTCAAATTACCATTATGTAATTACCATTAGTTGAGCCGGTCAACAATTGGACAAATAATGAAAGAATAATGCTCACTGTCCTGCATTCGATTGAATTGCTTATAAATGAATATATATGGATACAAACACATGACGATGAATCTTTATGTAAGTCTATCATAATGACAAACGCGAAATATTTTCCTAGCTTATTCCCCATCCAGTACACATGACCACGTTATGTGAGGTTTATCACCTAACTGGTGTAAAGTATACTAAATTGAGTAAACCAAAAACTATGACAGCTGGTAATGTCTGCGACTCGAAGCACTAAATGATGACTTGAGTATCACTGAACACAAGTTCAAACATAAACAGCGTGTGGCTGATTATACAAATGAAAATGACAGAAATCCAATATGTTTAGTTATCCTGTGTTTAAAACCAATTCCACATCTTACAAATGTTTATAACAACAAACATAGATGAGGGTGTAATGTACCGGTGTGATGTGTATCCACGTTTACATATTTCTGATTTATCTATGACACTGACTGATATCGTTTAATGTTATACTATTTCCATCACATAACGAGGAATCCTTATAGATCACGATCCAACAGGACCATTGGTGATCTGAGTTATATACGTTGACACTTTTATGAAATCAGTGAAAATATAGAAACTGGATCTCTAAACATAATGATATCTCAAAATATGACACTGAAAACCATCTATTCAAGTCAATCTTCTAACATTTTTCTTTATCTCGATCACAGTTATCAAACGAACATGACAAGGTTTTCATCATTTAATCAACAAATATACACTAAATATAATAGAGTGCAGGATGAAACTATCATGAATGTAGTTTGAAACAATATTCAACTGACGGTTATAACGATGAAGACACTGTTCTTTGCAGATGCAGAATGTAGTTTGTTGTTAAACATTATTATTAATCCAAGAACTAAACCGATCAATCTAAAAATCGAAAGAAAACAATGTAAAACATCATAATCTCACAGATATGATAGACCATAGTAATGTGCGTCAAATGTTCTACATAATCTGTATGCATGAAATGGTTTAACAAGTTCCACAACACCACACTTCGACATTTTTGAAAGTATATGTTACTTGGCCAAATAATCGATGAGTGGAATACTTAATGAGCAGTCGTCCTGATTATCTCATTTCATGCATTTCAGTATGATCATTTATTATGATTTGATGTAACACACAATGACATTGCTGTGCATCGTAAAGAAACGCACTATTTCTCTCTTCCTCAATCATAATATTCTTGTCAAACATGAATCAAATGTCTTATCACAGTGTATTAATCTGTTCATTAAATGATGCATAATAGTTATACACAAAATGTTGTATTTTAAATATACATAACTTACGTTAATAAGAAGCCACTGAAAACAAGTGGATCTTTATTTCTTTCAAAGCTGAATCTGTCAAATGTCAAGATATATATCTTACATGCAATTACAATTTTTCTGACCGGTTACTGTTGACGCATCGCCAAATGCGAATTTCATCATCACTGAACTATCTGCAATGGAGACTCGTGAACAATTCACCTTTGAAAATTCACCTTCCACAATCAGTAATTCCAACTTTGACTGAAATAAGAAAGAATTCACAATACAGTAATGGAAATAATCAATTTCATGGATTACATAAAATTCAAAATATTCATTTACATGTCTATTTCTTTCCTTATTCATTGTATTTCAACAAGTATGGATTCATGGACAGGATTTGAATTTCATCTGACTAGTTTGCTGTATGGTCTTTATGAGATTAATTATAAAGATCAAAAGTCGATGGAAACTGATCTCATTATATTGATGTTAGCTGCTCACTGTATACCGTGTTCTAAGGCCATCAACGTTAATGCACTGATTCTAGTGAATATAATTAATATTGACCAATCTAATCGTCACTTTAAATGATACTCAAATGGAAGTATGTTGTTTCTTACGTTAAGCTATTTCTTTCACTCTGGCATATTTGTGTTTGAAAAGTGGATGTCATACAGTCGAAGTACGGACAACCTCAATCTTCTATAGAAAACACTTTGTTCAGTAAACTGATGATCTCAATGTGTGCACTAGCAATGAGGATTTCAACCCTCTCATATCCTCAAACACCCTGTTGTAATACATTGAATTTTGTACTATTGGAGATCCGTAATGAAAATAATGTCAAACGACACTTGTCTTGTTGCAAGGTTTTCCTCAATCACTCTCCCTGCCTTCATGTGGTATTGATATCAAGCAAAGTCTTACATCCCACTATTTATATAAATGAACTTTATTGCTTGTAGCATTGCTCGACATTCACATTGACGATTTGTTGATTCTTGCATATTACGTACTATTCACTACTGTTCTCCATTATGTTTTCCGTTGATTTTCAGAAAAGATTTTGTTGCATTGGCTAGAGTGATGAAGGCAGTGATTAGAGTGTATAGTGAAGATAATTGAAATCATTTCTGCTGAGATTTCTATATTGTAGTTAGCCTATAAGACTGATCGAAATCGTTGTGATTGCTACTTATAATACGACTTTTCGACAAACGCAAACTCATGCTTAACTCATACCATTCGATAGAAATGAACAAACTCACATCAAATTATTCTAATGTTCAGTAAAAAGAACGTTATATAATTACACAAATTTATAATAAAATTCACAAATTCATTTGAATCATCTTTATTAATTCATGAGTGTTAACCCTGTTCATTGAACTTTGGTCAAGTTGACTTTGTACAGAACAATGGAATAAGTGATTCGGTTAGAAATAAACCAAAATGATTTAACTGTTAGTTACTTGTGAACAAAGGAGTCATAACACTCTAAATTGAAGAGGATTTTATTGCTGTGATGTGCTGGTTGGTTTGAGTTGAATGAAGTCTCTACAAAGTATTATGGTCAGTCGAGATACCATTGAAACTTTATTGACGTACGTTATTTCTTTTCTTTAATAGTATGGTTAGTTTCCGTGGTGGAAAACGATATATCTTCTACTCCATGACTACATACATACAAATGTAATGTGACTGTTGAAGGAAGTCGCCGAGGAAACCTAAATATAAGTCTCACGCAAAAACGCCGTCGTCAGCCAGCTGTAACTGCAATCTTGAGGGAGATGATGTATTCCATTTCAATAGCCTGTGTAAGTCAAGTTAATTGATTTTAACAACTGGACGTGCGACATAAGCAAAGGTTAATTATTCTCTCATGAATGAAGTAGCATTTCAATAATAAGGTTCACTCTGTCTATTAAAAAAGCAAAAGAGTTTTCATCTAGAATTAAACATGATATGAATACCACCAGATATGAATGTTCTATATTGAAGAGTCATTTTCCACATGATAACCCTTCTTCTTGTCATATTTGATATTCATCATTTGTGTTTATCACATGTGAGAAATACCGGAGTTGATGTACACAATAGGAAGTTTACTCAATCCCATATGTATAATCCAAATGAACACATAGAATTCCTGTCACACACTAAATTATTATAGTTTGAACAGTCCGTATTTTAAGAAAATTCCTATCAAATACGTCAAATACAATATCCTTTAGATCTTAAGAAGCTGTAGCAAAATGCTAAAGTGATCGGATGATATGATGATATTCGTGATAACCGTCGGAGATAGTTTTATGAAACGTTGTATGGATCGAATGCTGACCGTAAATCTGCCTCAGTAATGATTACGTGGCCTAACTAATCTACAAAACAATAAAAACAAGGAGTACTGTGGATTGACAAATCAACAAATTACTTAAGGGATTAGTCTTTTTCGCGGAATAATTTTCTATCGCACTGGGTAACTGATTGAAGATCAGCATCATATATGTGTTGGCAGAATATGTTGATGAAGACATTTGTGGAGAAAATACATTTGTATCGATTGGAAGCCTGTTTTTAATAAAATTCTCTCTATTTCGAGCAACGAAAGGCATACTTCTCCCATATGATTTTGGGATAGTGGAGAAGATTTGTAGCTCAAGTGGATGATTTCAATGGAGTTAAGTTCTCTGAGCTCAATACTTTGTTCATGGAGATTTCATCGTTTTTTTCAACGATATCATCAGCGAAACGTCTAGTTGAATGTTCCATCACAATTGTTATTTTTTATACCCACTGAAATACCGATAATCGACAGTGAACATTGTTAATTATATTCATAACTTACCAATCAGATCGTTGCTTAAAAGTCCACCACATTGATCTGGTGTGATGTGTATGAAGTCTATTCCTGTTGCACGTGACCTGCCAAATGAAGAACATGATTATCCTGTTTTATTAATGTGACTCACAATTTTCTTTATTCGTTTCCATAAGACACAGAATACTGATCGGTGTGTTAAGTGTAATTCACTGCATGACTCTTATCCTTTAACTTATTGTTTTACCAATCAAATTGTTTTTGTTACGTTTGAAAACAGATAAAATTTTCAAGCCAAGTTGTCTTTGTTCTGAATATATTTCTATAAACACAGATTCTGAAGGTGTCATTATCACACATTACTATTAGAATAGCTGTAGGACGCAGTGACAAGACTATAATCTATGGACCAATCAACCAGGTATAAGACAACAGGTCTTAGATTTTTGCTTCCCAGATATGTTAAGGATTCTACATCTTCCAGAGTTTTGCCATCATGAGTGATCGCATTGCTGTTCCCTGTGTTGTATTTCAGGCTTGCTGGTGCACAAACTGCTGCTACACTGACTGTCTTTATCTGCATTTGTTCGTGCGTTGGTGGAATGACATCTATAGGAAGATCTGTATGTGCTGCTTCGATGTCCGATGGATTCATTGGAGCCGGTCTATTCGAGTGTTCCTCGAAGTACTCTACTCATCTGTTCCGCTGTTGTTGAATTTCAGTGATTTTCATGCCTTCTTTGTCTTTGACCGGTCTCTGTGGTTTACTATATTTCCCTGCTAGTTTCTTCGTTGTATCGTGAAGCTGTTTCATGTTTCCATCTCTTGCAGCGTTTTCCGACATCGTTACTAGTTCTTCAACCTATTTCTGCTTGCCGGCTTCCATGATCTTCTTCACTTTCTTGTTTGATTCTTTGTACTCAGATCGTCTTTTGAATTTCTCCCCTCTTGTTCGGCAGTTCTTACTTCCTATCTTCTTGTTCTTCCTTTCCAATCCATAGTGATCCATTAGTTATGATGATGTTTCTTTCAACTCAGAAACTCTTGACAAGTTGTAGTCTTTTCAAGATTTGTCGTTGAAATTTTCAGTCAGAATATTGACGTCTTCACCTGAGTACTTTCCTCCGATTGATTGCAGCCTCCCATAGAATTGATGTTTATTGTCATCGTTGCTATCATTATTGCGTGCATAAAATTGGGTAGGTTTCATTGTGATCCCTTTCTTCCTTGTTTTGAAAGATGCTTAGATGATTCAGGATCGCTAATACTTCCATCCCAGAAGTGCATTGTATGCCAAATTTGACAGCATTAGAGGAACTTTTGAGTGTGTGGGGCATTTTCTTCTTCGTGTCCGAAGTATAGCAGCATCTCTCCCGTATTTAGCCTTTTCTGTTCAGCTTGGCCCCAAATGAGGTTCGCTGATTTTCAGTACCGTCAAGTTGTATCTACTCATTTCCGTTGCTAATTGACTGGTCTTCCCGGTTCTCACATTTTACGTACATTCCATGTACCTATAAAAATGTTTGCTCCAGTTGTTCGAAGGTGTGTCGACCTCGTGGCTTCTAAAGGAGCTCGGCTTTCAACAGGAGGCGTCATAACTCTTATAAATGAAGACCTTCTTACTCCCAGAGCTGCGGTTAAATTATCTGAAATAATATTCCTGGTTAGCGTTTTTTTAAGAGAATTATTTTTCTACAGGGTGAGGTTGCTAACGACATGTCCAACCCTTCTACTCTAAGCGGGCTTGGGACCGGCAGTAAATCCAGGGGAGCTACAGGTGGAGTTTTTGATGTTTTACTTCCGATTTCAATGTGTTATTTTAGGTTCTTTTTGATGGATCGATAAAATGAAATGGAGACTTGATGAACTCTATTGGCGACATAGTCATCAACTGATCAAATACAACTTTCTCATATTTAATTGTAGGTAGAAAATGAGAAGGTGAGAAAATACTGGAGTGCAGTATTACATTGATCATAAAATCATTGACGAATATTAGGTATTTGTTAGTTTTCAGATGGTGGAGAAGGTTTGTATCACAGGTGGATGATTTCAATGTAGTTTCGTTCTCTGAGATGGATGATTTGTTCATGGAGCTTTCAGCGTTGTTCGGAAGGACATCATCAGCACAAGTTCCAGGTACTCATAGCAAGTTAAATTGAGTTCGTTTGACTTATGCTATTCGTTAAGAAACTGTATAAACCGCTTGTTATTACTTTCTGATTTCAAACATCGTTGAGATTTATGATAACAACGGTTACAATGGTGATTGATCAACAGAGATTTTCACTACGATGTCATCGTCACGATAATAGTTGTGTTGTTTTCTCTAACTCTCCCTCAGTAACTCAGTTAAATTTATCTAGACAATCATGATATGGACTAAGAATTCAATATCAAAAACAAACAATCAATCAATCAACATTATCTATACAGTTTCTATATTATACATATGTTTCTCTTATACTTTTGTCATATAACGATAATCAATGGTCCCACTGACTATCTATTAATAACAAATGAACTACAATTCACATATTTCTAAGGGAATAATCTAGTCAATATTAAAGATTATTCACGATTCATTTGACTAATTGATTATGGCCTAACCCCAGTTGAAATACCGTGAATACTGTAAGATCGTTTCGTGTCGGCATACAACACTGAAGCATATAACCACGACATTTAGACTCGCGTGTGAACTAATGGATGCTTGACCGTTGGTCCAATGTTATATCCGAACAGAATATCAATATATATTATCTGTTAGGATTATTTTTGGACCGTTATATAGATACATAAATATATATATATTTATATATGTATATATGTGTATGTATGTATGCATATATATGTGATAACCGCTTATTCAGCACCCACAGTCTTCTTTTTCCAAAGTATGCTTTCACGATTGGTGGTCACAATCCAACTGAAATACTTATACCTAATCATCATAACTGGTGATGAAGTAGGGTTTTTCCTTCAGTATAACGTACAACTATTTGCAACTAATACGAGAAGAAATTTTGCTCGCGTACTTCTATGTGGAAGTAAGGTGCTGGATGTAGTCTGAACAAATAATGAAAACCATCCAGCTCAATTGGTGCCAGGCAAAGAAAATCAATCGATGAAAAATAAGCCAGTTGTCAAAGTCACGATACGCGTGCACTTAAGAAGAGCGGTGTTGAACAAATCATTACAGTCAATTCGGTTGATGTATTTTTGAGTAGAATCGAAGTGTGCTACAATGTCTGTCTGCATTCTTAATGCATACTTTCAATCTTGACATTTACACTAACAAGTGAACGTCTATTTAAGAGCATATTTTTATAAATGTTGTAATGATCCAGAAAACCTCTCGTAACAGACAAGAAAACATCGGAGAAACACCAAAAAGCATTTTATACAATCAGGGTTCACTTGTGATCTACGTAGAAACAACGAGAATGTGGAAAGTCACATTCAGAGTTTCTGACTGGATGAATAATATAATGCTACTACGTTTAGAAGCATTCCAGAATGTTTAGGAAACCCGAGATCATCTGTAATGTCATACAAATCCTATATTATCTATACTAAAATGAACTTTTGGAGTGAAGGACTTCTCGCATACTTTGCGCCTTCACTCTCCTGTTTAGATCGATGTGTAGTTTGAGATTGTGTGTTACACGAATGTCTAAGGAGCCAAATATAGCGTGCAATTAGCAAGACATATCAATAAATATTAGAATAGTTTACAATAATCTTCAATATATTTCACATGAGTATTTTGGAAACTAATTTAAACACTCTTTGTAACAGCATCTATTCGTCTTGTATAATCATTTTCTAATTCAGAGTTCAATTATTCTAATCACAATCAAATATTGAATTTAAAGAAAGTAGTAAAATGATGACAAGTATGATATGTTCATACATCAATAGAAAAACACTGTAGAGTGGATTGCGGCAACTGTCCAGATAATAGATTGACCATATAAACACCTGTAATCATTAAAACGGAAATGATTATTTTATTATCAATGCACGTATATCAATATATGCATCAGTGGAATAACGGGTATCTACAAATATACGTTTACCATCTTAGTGGTTTCCAAACGTTTATACAAAATAATTGAACAGTAAGGGTCTTGTATTTTGGCCTGTCAAATATTGACAGATGATCGTTTGTATAGCAGAGTGTCATATATATTGAGGGATTTAGTTAAGGAGAAGAATTGAGCAATATATACTTCATCAATCCACTTCGTGTTTTCTGACATTCTGCTTTGCTTCTCTCAATGTTTCCTCCAGATGTTTTGTGACGAATGCTTGTAAATGCTGTGAATATAAAACACTAATGCTTCAAAATTCTAAATTCTACAGAACGATATCTTTGGATGCATAATAATCAATGGATGGTTATTTGTACTTGAATTCACTTATTTATTCAGAACTTACAATTATCATTTCAAAGCACCAACAAACCATATTTGCAACAAGTAAATATTTCTAAATGAAGAAAAGAAAACAATACACCTCAATTCATCATACGTCTATACAGTTATTACGAACACCGTTACTATTCGACAAAACCATTGGCAAACCAATAGCAATCACTACTGGTTATTGGAAATCTACGATTAGAAAATCTTACCTCTTTTAATATCACCCACAAAACTACAAGGATGAAGGCAATTACAGCAAATACACCAAACAATGCAAACAAGAATACCATCCATTTCCTTTGTGAACCATGTTGCTTTTCACCGAATAAAATGACTATGAACGACAGCACGGAAGCCACAATTACAGTAATGATTTGTTCGTACCATTTTCCAACTGACATTAGTAATGCAACACCGACATCTAAAAATATCATCTGAATATTGAAAAAATAGTGTCAAGTTATTGTCAGTTCAGAAGTTTAAAGAATAATCTTCACTGTGCTGCATTCGATTGAATTGCTTTAAAATGAGTATTTATAGATGCAAGCACAAAACAAGGAATGCTTATCCATGTCTGACATATGACAAACATGAAGAGGTTTCACATCTAATTCGCTCATCCAGTAGACATGATCATGTCATGTGATATTTATCAACAAAATGGTGTGAATTATAATAACTCGAGTAAACGAACAACTACGACAGCTAGTTCGATGATAGATAAAGTGTGTGGATGATTATACAAACTAAAATGACAGAAATCCGATTTATTTACTTATTCTGTGTTTACAACCCATTCCACATCTTGCAAATGGTTAGTACAACGAACGAAGATCAGATTACAATGTACCGGTATTATGTGTATCCACATCTGCATAATTCCGAATTATCCAAGAACCTGGACAGATACCTTTTTAATGTTATATTATTTTTACCAGCTATCCGTTAAGTAATAGACCATGAACAAACGGATCACAAGTAAATCAGTGAAACTATTGAAACTGGATCTCTAAACAGAGTGGAATATTAACATTCAACATCGAAAAACATCTGTTCAAGTCAACCTTCAAACATTCTTTTATCTTGATAGCCGTGATCAAAGAAACACGAGAACGTTTAAATTATTTATCAAATAAATGTAGAGTAAATTGAATCGATGGTTGGAAGAAAATATCTGGAATGTGATTTTAAAAATATTTTCAACTGACAGTTATCACGATGAAAATATTGTTCTTTGTGGTTTTTGTATGTAGTTTACTAATAAGTATTATTATTATTCCAAGAACTAATCCGATCAATCTGAAAAACGAAAGAAAACAATGTAGAATATCATAATCTCACAGATAAATTAGACTATAGTATGTGCTACAAATGTTCTGCACAACCCGTGTGCAAGAAATGATTGAACAAGTTCCTGATTGTTTCAGATCGAGATTTTCGAACGTTTGTCCAACTTGTAAAAGTAATGGATTAGTGGTTTATCTAGTGAGTGATTGTCCTGAATATCTCAATTCATGCATTTCAGTATGACCCTTTATCATGATGTGATGTAACACAATATAAAAATGGTTTTTACTCGGAACAAATCAATAATGTTTTGTTTCCTGTTAAACATGGATGAAGTGTCTTATATCAGTGTATTATACAGTTCAATGAATACTAATACACGAAAAATTGTGATTTTTATGTAATACCTCCATTTAAAGCATAAATTACTTACGTTAATATGAGACCACTGAAAACAACTGGATCTGGATCACAAATCAACCTGAATCTGTCGAATGGAATGACAAATGTCTTACGTGTTATTGGATATGTTCAAACACTTTTCACTTGACACATTAACAAGACTTTGTAAGCTGAGTCTGTCAAATGGAATGATAAATGTCTTACATGCAAGTAGAATTTGTCCGATTGAAGTTTTCTGACACATGCTCAAGTGCGAATATCGACATGTTTTAGGTAACTGAAACGAAGATTCGTGAAAAAATTGCCTTTGAAATTCACTTTTCTCAATCCCCAATTCCAACTTTGACTGAAATAAGTAAGAATTCACAATAACACAGTGATGGGGTAATTCAATTTCATGGATTACGTAAAGCCTTGAATATTAATTCACATGCTTATTTCATTGTATTCCAACAAGTCTAGATTAATTGACATTGGATTTTTATTCGCATGCCTATTCCTTTCTTTTTTCATTATTTTTCAACAGTTATGGATTCATCGACAGAATTTAAATTCACCCTGACTTGTTTCATGTATCATCATAACGACATTAATGAACAAGATCCAGAGCGGATTAAAATTTATTCCATTAGATTCACGTTAGCCGCTCACTGCATACAGTGAATTAAAGTCAATAACGTTATCACGCTCAATCTAGTGAAGATTGTTAACATCGACCGATTCATTCATCTCAATAAATAATACCCAATGGAAGCATGTTGTTTCCTGCGTTAATCTATTTATTTGACTGTGACAAAATTTCTACCTTCACCTGGAGACACCCTGAGGTTACTGCCGGTCCCATGCATGGATAATGCAGGATAGTAGAACATGGGATTAGCGACTATATCTGGTAGAAAACCGACTCACTACAAAACGCTAACCCAAAAGATAATTCGAGTGATATATGTATGATAAATTTGTGGTTATTTGGGCACGGTTAATAAAGTGAATGTTATACAATCGAAGGGTGACTGTCGTCCCATTTTCTAACGAAAGCCCTTTGTTTGCTGTCTAATGATTCCACTATGTGCATTAGTGGCGAGTCTTTGTACCTTTTTATATCACGAATAATACTCAAACAACCTGTGTTATCACGATGTAGTTAGAGATTTCGTAATGAAAACAGTGTCAAACGTCACTTATAGTGATGTGAAATTTCCGCTTTGTTTTTCTTCATCTTCTCTTGTGATATTATTATCATGTACATTATTCAACCTGTCTTCTTACACAGAGAAGCTAAATATTTATCGCATCGCTCGACATTTACAGTGACTATTCATTACTGTTCTCCGTTATTATTTCCAATGATTTTCAGGAACGATTTTGTTTTGAATTGTGGAGAACACTAAAGTCAGTGAGCGCGTTGTATAGTGAGACTATCAAGATGATAATGAACATGATTTTATAAGCAACGACGGATGACGGCTAGCAGTGGAATCCAGGGAGCGCGTTTCACCCTTTGCAAACCACTATCCATCTTTGCTAGTAATGCTTGTGACTTAAGGCAATATCGACGTAATTTGCAATGGATGAACATGTGCCAACAAGCGACTGATCGACCGCTGTCCTAAACAACAGCGGAAAGATGAAAGCAAACAATATCAAGTTCTTTAAAAACACGGTTATTTATAGACATGAAAATCTTGCAAACAGCTGAAAAGTGATATCCTACCAAATATTAATCTTATATTTCAATCATAAATCTCAACGTCAACATACTCTGGAAGAATGAGACACTAATACATGAGAATCTTTAAGGATCTCGCATGTGTTTGTAAAGGGAACTCTTTAGAATCATTTGTGCTAAGAGTTCTATGTTGTAATTAGCCTATAACATTAAACTCAACCGTTGTTATTGCTACTCATAAGAAAACTTACCAAAAAATCTTAACTTTCGCTTAATTCATACCATTCAATATAAATCAACAAACTCACATGGAATAATTCTGATGTTCAGTAGAAATGACTGAATAAAATTACACAAATTTATATTGGAATTCACTAATTACTTTGAATCAACTTTGGTAACTTATGAGTATATATTTTTTTCATTGAACTTTGGTTAAGTTAACTTTGTACAGAAGAACGGAATAAGTGATTCGTTACAAATGGAGGAAACTCATTTGACTGTTAGTTCATTGTGAGTGAATGAGTGGTTGAACCTCGAGTGAGAATGAATATGTCGCTTTGATATGATTAATGGATGGATGAAGTCTCTACAGAGTAATGACGTCAGGTGAGGCACCATCAAACATTAATGATGTTCACATATTACTATTTTAACATTTTTCTTAGTTTCTGTGGTCGGAAACGACACGCCTTTCACGCCATCAGCATATACCTGTTTATGTAATGTGGATGTTGAAGGTAGTTGTTGAGAAACCTGAACCTAGATTTCGTATGATTACGCCGTCGTGAGAAAGCTTATACTGTAGCTTTGAGGAGAGTAATGCTTTTGATTTCGTGTCTACCAACCTTGCAGCAGGAGACGTTGCCCCGAAGTGTAGTAAATGAAGTGATTTGTGTGGCGCGTATGTATTTGTTGCCATCCTACCGCACCAATATTTTGTGTTCAAATAAATTAGTATAAATAAATGGTTCATTTTGATTAAGCACTTTTATTGACTAATCCGTTCAGCATAATTGATGAAGACGGTGGATCTAATGCAGATGTGATGGCGTGGCTCGGAAAGCAAAAAAAGCATATCAACAACTGAAGAACATTGGAAACACAAAACAACTGTCAACCGACATTAAATTCTGGATTGTTGATAGAAATATCAGGACACTTCCAGTTTATGGAGCCGAAACCTGGAGAACCATGAAAGTCATCATCCAGAAGACACAGGTGTTTATTACCAGTTGTCTACGGAAAAATCCTCGAATCCGTTGGCCAGACACTATTAGCATTAACACACTGTGGAAGCGAACAAACCAGATCCCAACGGAAGAATAAATCAGGAAGAGGCGCTGGAAGTGGATAAGACACACAATAAGGCAAACATCCAACTGATTCTCAAGGCAAGACTGCATCTGGAACCATCAATGAAAGGCCAAACGAATAGACGAAGACCAAATAGCACATTACATCGAGAAATGGAGACAGACATGAGAAAAATTAACTAGAATGATTGTCAAAAAAAGATTGAGTTGAAGATTGCTGGTGAGCGGCCTGTGCTGCATCAGAGAAACAAGATTAGGTCAGTCAGTGAGTACATTTAATAAATGTTTGACAGACAATGTTATTTGATCAGTAACGAATGGCATAATTATTTGAAGCTTCATGAATTTTATCGTCTCTTCGTAAACATGTACGCTTGGTCATATGATAGACTCTAGCTACGAATGTTGAACGCTTCAACATTACTCGATGATTCATTCTCTTTTCCATGTATATATGTACACAAATTTTATTATGAGTTTTGCCTTCCGTAGCTGCGTCTTATTCGACTTGACTGTTAATTTGTCTCTGTATTCACTTGCATACATACGTTCGCCTATGTGATTCAAAATCATTTGACGTGCTTGTCGCATTGTGATTTGTGCTATCCGCTTCTTATTGAAATCTGATTGCAAACACCGTTGAGATTTTCCATAATATCGGTTACAAAGATGGTTGATTAACGAAGCGAATTCACCGCACATTATTTGTCACCATAAAAGGTCGAATAGTTTAAGAACTGTGCATTTGCATATGTAATAT